AGCGCATCGTCATCGTCCGTTCCGTGCAAGAATGCTGGCGCATTGTCGTTTTCGTCGAGAACTCGAACAACGACCAAAGTTTGTGTGCTGTTCAGTTTCGCTTTTGCTTCTAAAATGAACGTTTCAGAAGCAAGCAGCTTACCCATTCCTATTCAGAGGACGCATAAACTTACTTTCAATAACGGGATTTTCTCGTATGACACGACGTTCTGCGCTGATTTTATCGGCGCCAGGAGAGACTTCTATGTACAGAAAATTATAGGAGCGCCGTTCGCGATCGAGTGGAAGTATCGCAAATAATTCACCAGTCTTTGGATTCAATTCGAATTGATCTAAATTCAATCTAACAGTTTAATAAAATGATTACAATCCGCACTAGAAACGAACCTGTAGCGTAAACCAGAGAGTATTCGTAGGGGCGACCCTCAGTCTCGCATGAAGAAGTCACCTTCACAAGCTTCCGCCTTCCTTGCGCATTCTCCACTATTTCAGCATTGTAGATTTTTGTGGGGAAATAGCAACCAGTGTTGTTTCCAGCCTCTCCCGAAGAAGTGGTAGCTCTGTTGTCGCCCTCGATAAATACGTTCAGCTGTAAATGGTTAGTTTAATCGAATAATCAAAGTTCGAGAGGGAAATTATCAGTAAGCTAAAAAACATTTTTGAATTCTTTATAAATTTTTTCTTTTCTGGCTGGTTGTGAAAGTATCAACGTTACTTACTTTGACTGAAATCAAGTACCTCGAACAAACCTTAGTCATTATTGTTCCGAAAGACTATGAAAGTGACGGATTTCTATCTTAAGTATGTACTCACTGCCCATTTACCCTAACTCCTGCGCGCAGCGCGTCCTAAATGAATGTGGTACGCGCATAGCAGAGGGAACATGCGCTCTGAAGGTATCTTCATGCTTCAGTGGATCGGCAGATTTAGATGGGCTGATCTTTATAACGCTCATAAGCGCAGTAAGGCTCGGCAGATCGAAACTGGCGGTGTTTGCACCACGCTCGCAGCCAAATAAAATTCTGCCTGGAGTTCGGTACTCATTTTTCCGGCACACTTGCTGCTGACTTCTGAAAGCTTCAACCTAAAAGAAGAAAGCAGGTCAAAGTCCAAAGAAAAAATTGTGGGAGAACTGGGATAAGCCGAATTACGCCAAATCGGTGCTCAACATAGAGTGTCGCAATCAACCGCCACGAACCCTCGATTGGCGGTCCATATTGAGATATCCTGAGCATATATGACACGCCGCGCGTTGGTCCAGTGCCCAAAAGAACTTTCAGGGTGCGACTTATCTACACG